TCGGACACAGGGAAAACTTCTAGCAGCTTCTCACAGAAGCCACCCCTGTAGCCCCCTCACTACCAAGACCTTGCCACAGAAACCCAATACAGTAGTTTAGTTGTATTTATCTTTTTGTTACCAATATAGTGCATAAAGAAACAGAGTCAGTGTTGATAGTCACCTTGGTTTTAAAATAGAGAGGATTTTTTATACTTATTTTTAGATAGTGGTTTTGTGGGGTTTTTTTCCTACTTTAAGATCATAGAATCATCATAGAATGTTTTGGGTTGGAAGGGACTTCTAAAGGCATCTAGTCCAACCCCTCCTGCAGTGAGCAGGGACATCTTCAACTGGATCAGATTGCTCAGAGCCCTGTCCAGCCTGGCCTTGAATGTTTCCAGGGATCGGGCATCTACCACCTCTCTGGGCAACCTGTTCCAGTGTTTCATCACATTCGTTGTAAAAAAAAAAAAAAAAAAAAAAAAAAAACCCCCCCCAAAACCATCTGATATTAAGGTTTCTATTATTTTTATAGCTATTGTATAAATTACTTTAATGAAAGAATAACGTATTGATGCAAAACTTGTACTCACTCATTTTACCAGGACACTAAAAATTGTAGGAGGCTTAAGGCTTTGTGTGGGACTTTGTGTATTCTTTGTTTGTTTGTTTTAACTGAGTTGTTGAAAGTGTAGTATTGCATTACTGCGGAATAAAACTGGCTTATACTTTTATTGGGGATTGTTTTGCAATCTGATATTCTTATGACATCTGTGGTTCTTCCCCATGTAGTGTCCAAGTTTCATGCTGCTGCTTATTACACAGTCAGTTGCTTATTTTGTTACACGTTCTTTTTATGTAAGATTAAAATCTTGGGTTTGGAATTCTTTTTTTAAAATGTAAGGGGTAAGTAGAGTTATCTGTAACTTAGTGGTAGATAGTAGTAATCCTCTATTTGGAAAAGTACAGGAAATTATCTAGAGCAGCTTGTTTAAGTGTGTGTGTGCATATGCATAACATTTACCTGTATAGACTTGTTTTAGGAATATTTTAGAATACATGTATTGAATAAGAGCAGATTTAAATTTGTGTTTTCAAATCAGCAAGGTTGTCTCAGTAGTACAGTTATTCTTAGGTGATTAGTTTTCCAAGAACTATGCCGACTGTAATGTTGGGAGCACAAAACATGTATGAAACTCACTGCTGATATTTTACTTTTAGGCACTTGCGTATTTTATATTTCCTGACATATCAATAACTTTAAATTCTCTTCCTTTTGTGTATGTATGCATATCTATGCATATATATATTATGGCTAATATCAAGTATATTTTATTTCTCATTTGTGTTTTTGATTTTTTTTAACTCTGGGATGCAATAGTACAATTGTATTCAAGCAAAAACTCTTACCAACAGCATAGTGGGTGCTGTAGGTGGGATAGTGACATTTTCAGTAGTGTGCTTAGTTAACTGCATTTAAACTTTAAAAAAAAAAAAAAAAAAAGTCTTCTTTTGTAAATCACTTGATATGGACAGGATTGTCATTGTTGAAAGACTTTGCCAAAACTAACGTGTGGGTAAATGTCGTAGTATCTTGAGACGATGTCATTTTTGCACAAGCTAATTTATTACTACCTCAAGACATCAGCTTGCACAGCTTTATCATCTATTCTATTACTTTATCTAATAAATTACAGAAGGTTAAAGTTGAAATCTTTGTGACTTCCCAGCACTTGTTTCTGTGAATTAACGTAAGGTGGTTTTTTGCTGTAAGAAAGCAGATCATAAGCATGTATTCAAAATTGAACATATGCTGAAATGCTTTGCTATTTTAGGTCTTGGTTATTTGCTCGTTACCCTCCCCCCCTTTTTTTCTTTTTCTTTTTTTCTTTGAATGCTATCACTGTACTGAATGATCACGAGAACTCATGTTTTCCTCTCCAAACGGGTGCTGTTCAAAAAAAGATGCAGAGAATTAAAAAAAAATAAAGGCTAGCCGGGACCCCCACAAGTTGAGAACTCCTAACATGCTTGCTTTGGTGTTCTTTCTTGTCCATATGGTAGGATGGAAAACATGTTTAATGTATAGCAATTAAGGAAGTCAAAATGGAAAAAAAAAATCCAAAGGTACTCATTACTTACATAGGATTTGCTAAACAAAGCAGCAAAGCTGTCATTCATCATTTTAAGATTAATCACAAGTTGATGTGGTAACAATTTTGTTTCTGTGCATAGCTTTAAATCACTGGCATAATTAAAACAGGGCTGAATTTGGGCAACAGCTTTATTAAAATTAGTACCTTATTAAAATTACTTTTAATTAATCATAAGGAATTAATATATGTTCAGCCTATTTACATTTTTTTCCATATTAAAAAAATGCTATCATATAGCTCATACTATAAATTTTAGTCTAATCAGAAATAACCTTTGGATTCTTTAAGAAAATCTGTGAATCTGTTTGGCTGTTGAAGCTCAGTAACTTTGGAGAAGAAAATATTTGGAAATACTACCGTTCTACAGAGAAATTTAATTTTATTATGTAACAAGGAAAGAAATTAAACATATCACAAGGCAGTTGGAGATCTTTTGTTTAAAAAAAAAAAGCTTAACATGAACAAAGTAACAGTGATGTACTGAGCATCTACACTATGTTTTGTTTGTAGTTGTCACACTGATATAAACTGTGTGCTGTTTGAGAACACAGATGTGTTTATAATGATGCTAGAATTAACAGATTGACAAGAAATTGTGAGTATGGGAAAGAAAATAGTTTTCCCTAATTTCTCCTCTCCCCTTGTAAAATTTTTGCTGTGTATTGACTGTATAATTATTTCTGTAGCACGTGGAGTATTCCAGTTGCAAGGACATAATCCGCAGCTGTTTGGAGTACTAATGTAAAAACAAATATTTACAAATCTTAATCCCATTTTTCTTTAAGGACCACTACACCGGGAGAGACTAAACTTTTAGCTTCTGAAGTCTATGATATCCTTCAGTCTTCCAACATGTCAGACATGGACAATGTGAATGAGATGAATTATCGTCGAAGGAAAGCGCAGTTTTTCCTTGGCAGCACAAATAAGCGTGCCAAGACTGTGGTTTTACATATAGATGGCCTTGATGATTCGGTAAGGAAACCTTCAGCATTTATGTAAATAAGGCATGCTGTACTGAGATGTATTTTGCCTACAGAAATAATGTGTTCAGGCTACTTGTGTGGCATCATCGATTGCCAGCAATTTCTGTATTTTGAATCACAAGGTATGTATAAAATCTTGCATAAATTGAGCTTACTTAGAATATCTGTAGATGTTTTAAGACCGTTTCCTTGATGGCTTTCTATTTACTCTAAAAAAACCCTATTCTGTTTCCACCTCCTAATTTTCTTTCCTTTTTCAAGAAAGAATGGAATAAACGAGGTACCTTCAGCAGTTTCACTTAAGGATATCTTGTGATTGTATTGGTGTATTAAACTGGAAAAAAGTTTCCTTTTAGTTATGAGGCATTTCAGGCACTTTTTTTTTTTTTAACTACTCTTAATTTAGAAATGCTGTATTTTCTTTGAGCTGTTTTTGCTACATCTTTTCATTGTCTGTGAGATCTTTTCTACTGTAGTGACCAGAATGGCATTTGAGTTAATGAGGTCTCACTGAGTCTTTATGTAATGTCAGAATAACTTGTACGGATTTATCTACCATACCCCTGTAGATAACACCCCAGGGCCATGTTTGCCTTTTTACGGCTGCCAAACAGCATGTAGACTGTTTAAGCATGTTATCCACAAGTGCCCTCCGGACTCTGTATCTTCAGTTTTGTACCCATTTTAAATGATCAAACCTGATCCTTTGCTTTGTTGCTTTACGTTTTGCCAAGTAAGCGTGTCCACAGGCCCAGTTTGTCAACAGCATGCTGGTCGTACTGTTTTCATAAGACCAGAGTTAATTCCTTTAGAAATAACATGCTGCTCTAGCTCACTTTATACAAAGTGAATATTTTTTACAGTTTTGTCCTTCTAGCACTTGCTCTGTCTAGAAAGGCAGTGCTTTGTCAACACCATTGGGTTTTGTACTCTGAAGGTTTTTTTTAATTCAGTCTGATCTGTTGTCTCCTGTTAAGTTTGTTTTGGTTTGGTTTTAAGATTGTAGTTGATTTGTTCACAGGTATCTCCAAGCAAGAAATGTAATCCACTTCTACTTTGCAAGTTTAGATATTCTGGCTATAGTCTGATTCTATCTTAAAAGTGTTTCTTTGTGTTCTTCGACAAATGGAATTTAGCAAGATTTGTGGAACTTCTCTCTTACATGGTGAGGCAAAGGCATTCTGAAAAAATGTAGGATATTTAGATACTCAGCTCCAGAGAGCAAAGCTGCAGGCTTCTGTAGTTGCCTAGAGCATGCCAGCATGTTTTCTTAGCTCACTGTTGAAGAAAAGAAAAATCTGACAGTGCGCTGGCTGGAGATGACGAGGGCACACAGCTCTGTATTTCATCAGATGATTAAAGAAAGGTTAGTGATACTCCAGGTGCCCACCCTGCAGTTAAGCATCCCTATAATGCTGTTTTAAATATCAGGATAAGTTGAGACTGGGAGAATGATGACACGAACAATAAAAGCAACTTAGTTTCATTCAACAGTTTATTCCCAACTTAACTAGCAGAGAATATCAGATGGCACGTATGAGTGGTAGAAGGCATAATAAGTAAACGCAGGGCTGTAAATACTGCGTTCTCAGTTTACCTGAGTTTTGTCATTCAGATTTGAAACAAGAAGGTGCTGTTAGGAATGATTGCAAATCCTACAAATGCTTGTGGATTTTGAAACCTCAAATAGTAGATATTGATTATTTCGGGAGGAAAGGAGGGGAAAGGTCAGTTGTTTATTGTGGGATCAGATGTTTTTATTTTAACAGCTAATTATCAAACTGGAGGATAAGCTTTAAAAAAAGGAAAAAATGAAGCAGTATATTTTAGTAGTATTTATTAGGGTATGGTAATCAGCGTTCGGTAGTCTAGCAGGACTACTTGCTAGACAACAAGGTGTGCAAGAAAATATGCTAAATTTCACCTGTCCTACTCTGTACCTGTCCTACCTTGTGCCCATGCTTCAGGAGTACCGTGCATAAAGATGTCTAGATGTGCATTGCTGGGGTTTGTGCCTAATTGCTGTAGTTAGATATACTTTGCAAAAGACGTTTGTGCAGCAAGGCCGGTGGCTGCCAAGCTTCCAGTTTTTTAGAGAGTCTGTACGGACCATGGTAAGTTTTGTCTTTAAGAAGTGATTCACCAGTTGTTTGATCACTGAAAGCCTCATTTCAAATTAAACTGAGGTGCCTATGACTTAACCCGGGATCTCAGAGTAAAAAGCCAAATTCTGTCACAGAATTGCTATACACTCATGTAAGCATAAATTATTTATTTAGGCTACTGAACTGTGAATGTGTTCCTGCTTGTGTCCAAAAGTAGTTTTGACTTTCACCCATGCAAGGCAGCCTATCATCTTTGCATCAAATATTTCCTGTGTATGAGAAATGTATCCTATCCAGCAATGTTATTTTTTTTAACCGTTGAAAAAATTATTTCAATACATAATCTCACACAAATGAATTGTTCCAATATATATGCTAAACTGCTAAAATAAAAAAACCCCATGCTTTAGTTAGTTCTTCCAGATATTAAAAGACTGTAATTTACCTGTCGTGCATGCAACTATCCCAAGTAGTGACCAGTAATTATTTTAATAGCTAATATAAATATGCTTTGAAATAGCTTATTATTTAAAACCTTGCAGAAACTTGCAGTAGAAGCTAAATACATCATTATTTTGAACCTGCGTAAGGTTGTCAGTTTATTTCTGGTTCAGTGTTATCTTTTCTTTTTTCCCCTTCTGCGCTAGCAGGCTCTCCAAGTGTATTTTAATCCTTTTTGTTACAACCATCTTGTGCAAATATAAAAAAGGGAAAAAAAAAAATAGAACATTCTAAGATAATGTAGAACAGATGCAACTAGTACAGGTCAATGTAATGTTACAGCACAGTAGGCGATGTTACTTGTTTTAAACATAACATTCCGTGGGTTATCAACCAAATATTTTCCCTTTGAAATAAGAATTAAGCTTATGCTGTGCAGTGATGTCCGTGAGCTGCCACAGATGAAGCAGCTGAAAGATACAACAGCTGCTTTGATGCATTCAGTCAGTATGGAGGCAAGGTGTCTGATAAATAGCAACTTAAACACTAACTACTCATCAATGAGCACTTCAGTCAATCAGAACTTAACCAGAGGGGACTGTTTAGCTGATCATACGGAGAAAAACATTCTTTGCTTTTCAGCACTTTTCTCTAATTATTTACAGTTGATTCCATCCTTCTTTGACTTCTAAAGTGTAAGCAATTTTTTTCTTTTGTGTGGCAAGAGAGTCTAATATTTGTGCACTAAAATGTAAGTCATAGTTTTTCTTCTACAAAAATGCTGTCGAGTAACCACCTGCCCTTAGACATACAGGAATTCCTTAACAATTAATTGTTAGCATTTTCACATGGTATATTATGCAACTACTTAGTTGTGGTGGTTTGGGTTTTCTTTTTTTTTTTTTTTTTTTTTTTAGTCTCGAAGGAATCTTTGTGAAGAAGCGTTGCTGAAAATTAAAGGTGTTATTAGTTTTACCTTTCAAATGGCTGTTCAAAGGTGCGTGGTCCGGATTCGCTCAGACTTAAAAGCAGAGGTGAGTGCTCAATAACCCTCCAGATCCTCACGTTACTGCATTCTGTCACACTAAGCTCTTGGGTTTTTTTTTCTGTGTACTTGCAGGCATTGGCAACGGCAATAGCGTCAACCAAAGTCATGAAGGCACAGCAAGTTGTGAAAAGTGAAAGTGGTGAGGAGGTAGGATGTGTACCTTTCTAAATACCAGTTGGTTTAGCTCAGCTGTATCTTTAATACCAGTACTTCTGATGCCAGGCAAAATTTTATAAGTGGGAGTGCTACACATACAGTACAAAGAGAATAAAGGGTATCCTGTGTCAGGATATGTAGCCATAGAACAGTTTTACAGAACTTATTGTTCAGAATAAGGACAAAAGTACCGTCATTGTTTCTCTCCTTAATTATATGAAAAGGATCACAGTGAACTTTTTTTTTTGACACAGTTGCTGAAGTGTGTTTATTTCACAGCTACAGTAAAAGGGCAATGTCGCGTCTTTTTTTCATTTGACATTTTTTCTTCCATGTTAAGCCAAAGCTTTCCCTGTGTGTCTTCTAAGCATAGTAGATTCCAGATATATATAGTAGATCCCATTTATATTCTTGCTGTAGAGGAGGACGGGGAGGAGTCTTACAACATGCATGCCTGTCATCCTGAGTGTGTATGTAAGTGTAACTTTCATTCATTCTTTTAATTTTCAACATCTGACATATTTTTAATCTGTTGTGTTCTGTCAGATGCTGGTTCCGTTCCAAGATACTCCAGTGGAAGTAGAGCAGAACACAGATCTACCTGAATATTTACCGGAAGACGAAAGCCCTACAAAGGAACAGGACAAAGCAGTGTCTCGTGTTGGGTCACACCCAGAAGGTGCAGCAAGCTGGCTCAGCACGGCAGCAAACTTTCTATCAAGATCTTTCTACTGGTGACTTGTATTTGGCGTTAAAAGACTGAGTGAATGAACCAACAGGGGGGCCAGTTTTCCATTGGTGTGGTGAACTGCCAAGTGCAATTTGCAATAAATTATCACAAAAATTTTAGATTAAGCAAATGTATGCTGCATTTTACATTTTATCGGACGTTTAGCCTGATAGGGCAGGGGTCAAAGGACAGAGGCCTCCAATCAAATTGTTCTTTCATTTGTTTTTCATGTGGATTTTATTGCTTCACTTTTTAAAAATGGGTCCACTGTTATATACCAAATGTTTATGCATATAGAGCTTTAAGTTTGACTTCACATGAAACACATGATAGGGAGAATCCATTTAACTCAAGTCTCAGGGCCTCTGTGAAAGAAAATTCTTAATAGCTCTAGCTGTGCATTAAATAAAATGCCCCTTTTATTTCTGCACACCTTTGGACTAGTGTTATTTTGTTTCATTTTCTAGATTTTGACTCCAGAGAAAAATACAGTCTGCCTCTTTTTTTGCCTTTATTTTTGCCAACCATGTTCACAGCATGAGCACGATGTTCCCCTTTTGCTATTAAACTAGAATCACTACAGATTTGAAATTTATAATGTATATTGAATTTTTTCCAGCCTGCCCTTAACCACTGGAGTGCTTGAGATTAAGAAATAGGGGATTGAATAAACACAAATATGTATACATACATTGTACAGTAAATAAACGAGAACATATTTGTAATGATGGGTGTGACTGACTGATGTATATAACTAATGCATACCACTGACGGCTCTTTAGGCTAGCTGGGAAGACTGTAGCAAAAAAAGCTGTGGTCTAATGTAGTGATTGCAGCTCTGTCTGCAGAGAATAGAGGGATGTAGACTATATTTGGTTAAGGAATGGTGTTCACTGTTAGCAAATATTTAATGGTAATGGAAACTTTAAACTTGAAGAGTAAAGCAGAACTGAATGCCTCTTTCGCCACAGTGCCACACTCATCAATTTTGACTTCAACCCTTTTTATTTTTTTTACCTAACAAATCTGATACCTAATTACTGTTTCCTCCCTATGTCTTTCACGAGACTCCCATGAAAGTACATCGGCTTGGATAGGCTTAAAAACGTATGCAACCAGTTGGCTTTATCTTGTTACTTACAGGCAGTATGGGTCTAAAGATGACTTGGTAATTTCTGTGACCAGAAGTGATGATAAAAGCAAACCTTCTGTAGGTAGAGAATAACATATATCTGAGCTGTTAGTAAACACTGTGTGCCTGAGAGGATTCAAAACACAGTGCTTGAAAACTGCAGTGCCACTGCTTTGTTGCACCAGAGAAATGCAGCTGAGAACTTTAAATAATGTTATAAACCTCATTATACAATGCTTTTTTGTGGTAATGTATTTGCTATGATATGAATTATATTTACCAGTTGAAGACTCAAAAAAAAAAAAAAATTAACGCATCAAAGTTATTCCCCTGTGCCTATGCACAAGGAATAAAAAAAAAAAAAATTCACAGGCTGTCATACTACTACAGAAATGCTGAGGAAATGATAATGTAAAATAATAATGCAGGTCAGAGTTCACCCACCCAAGTTAATTGTCATACTAGGATAAAAGAGAAACAAAAGCTTGTTGGCAGACTAGATGTCTCATGTTTTTTAATATATCTAGTTTATTTTTGATTCAGGTTTACACGCACAGATTGAAAATACAGGCTTTTCAGGGCATGTATTGCTTTAAATATGTAATACTACTCATATTGCTGTCTAGAATGTTACAGTACCAAATGTGTTTGAAAAGTCCTCTGTTCTATAGCCATGAATGCAGAGTTTTATTTGTCTGCATTAACATCTGTTTGCATTTGCATTACTGCACATCTGTTTACTAAAAGACTACACCCTTTGGATATTAATGGTTCGATACCAGTAGGTATTACAGTTTGTTTGTGCGTTCGGTCTGTAGGTGTGCTTTTATGACAGTATTGCAGCTCTTGTAGAACAGTTTAAGGCATCTGTAAAAGTTTTTGAAATATATTGTAAAATAATAAAGGATAATATAACTAAACAAAGTATGACTGGTGCCTTTTTAAATGTCAAAACAAAGGCTGGTGACTTTTTAAATGTTCTGACATTCTTTTAAGATATTTGTGGTTTTACAAGTACATCTTAAGGACATTGTCTCAAATTCATTCTTAGGGGTTTTTTGCTTTTTTTTCGTAACGGATGCTATGTCATATTTCATTAGGGAAATTAAAAAGAATCAACATTCCCGGAGAAGCCTCTTATTTTTAAAAAGTAAAAAAAAAAAAAAAAAAAAGCACAGTCATTCATTTTATGCTTGCATTTTTTCAGAGGCCAGATTAAGGATGAGAAAGCCCTTTGACCTAAGGAGATGACAAAAAAAAACCGCTGCAAAACTAGAGGCTTCCAAAAAGAAGCTGAACTGGGAGGCAGGGCACTGGTATTGCATTGCAGTAGTTGCAAAGTACTTGGTTGCCAACGAAGCCACCGCATGCATCATGGTTTAAGCTCCTGAATTGCTCTAGGGTTATAGCCTTGTACAGCATAATAGAATAATCACTACCATGTTTCTTCATAATAAGAGTAAACGCTGATGGGGTAGGTAGAGGCAAAATTGAGGCTTGTAACTGTGCCTCTGTGAACAGCTGTCAAAGCACTGCAAGCATTCTGCAGTATTGTGAAATACAATATACTCTAGCTTTCCCGCTCCACAATCACCTATGGCTTATTTCGTACAAAAATAGCTGATGTTGCCGAGTTTTGCCACAGGCTGTGTAAGCTGATGGGGAGAGTACTGCGTGGGGCTAATTCAGAAGAAAACATTGAAGACCTAGGCAGATGCAAGCTGGCAGGTGTGAAGTACTCCTGTAACTGCCTGCAATGTAAAATAAAATGTGGGTGCTCCTTTTTTTGCCTGTGAACAATGCTCCAGCTGTCAACTAGCGGAGTTTAAAAACATCCCTAATAAAAATTAGCAGCAGCGTTTCTTGCTGTGTTCGGTTTGCAGAAGGCTGGACTATATCATCTTTCCTGTTTCTTCATCTGTACCTCATTATTCTGAGCTCCTAAAATGCAAACAAATCTATGTGTTCAAATTAAGGATTGAAAATAAATGAAGATAGAGAGGAGAATAACCTCTCAACCCATCTCAGATTCTGATTGTAATTCTTCAGGAAAAGTTGAGAGCATGTGATTTGGCGAAAGGGGGTGAGCGGCGGGGTCACTGGAGACTTCTTCAGTGAGGTACGGCATCTAATTAGCCTCAGGGGTGAGACCGGCTGTTAAGATTCCTGCTCTAAAGCTTTATATTAAGCTGTTGCAAAAAAAAAAAATAAAAATTGTCCTATTCCTTGTAGCTTACGCAGAGCAGGCAAATGCTCTACTTGTTTAGCCTGCTTTACGTGCTAGGTTTTGAATAGGGTTGAAAAAAGCTGATTTAAATTTGCAGTACTTTGCACATACATTGGTTAAAACATGGAGAGCAAGATCTACTTCTGTAAGCTGATGCATGTGCTGCAGCAGAACTTTAATTGCTTTAAAATGTCTTCACGTTCTTGTTCATTTATGTGCGTGTTGCACCAGGCTTGTTAGTGACTGGAAGAGTTAGAGCTTCCCCTGTGGAATAAATTAAAATCCATTAAAGCAGTTAAAGTTGTCTGGCGATACAAAAACATCTCAGAGGAGATGTGCGCTCTCACCATATTTTTGTGCCAGTTGTGGTAGAGGTTGTTCATTGCATGAGTATCTGAAGGCTGCTGGCTGGATCAAGTTCCCAGCAGCTCGGTCTCTTCATGATGTGAAGACTGCATGGAACTTGGTAGCCAAATAATTTCCAGCAGCTCCCCTGTGTTTAATACTTGCCCAGTGCCTGCAGTTCAGGTCAGCCGGTGCTGCCTGTGCTCATCTGACCAGCATTTCTAAGGAGCAGAGTAACATCAGAACTAGAACCAAACTTCTCATGTGAAAAGCACTCCTATGCCAGCAGTGTGTGGCAAAATGTTTGTTTGGCATGAAAAGGATCTTTTAAGTAGCAGATAATGAAAAAGTGAATACCACAAACCTACCGTGTGACAGGATTGTTGCTTTCATTTCCTATCAGAGCACCGAGTTAAGCAGAAATACTGAGAGTAAGGGAGTGCTGCTGGTTAGAAGTAATGCCGTGCTGTTTCATACCTCTTCTCGTTGAGGGCCTTCAGGGATGTGGGCACACTAACCCACTGGTGCAGGGAATTGCCGTGTCAGCCTCCCCGCGGGAACTGCCCCTCTGGATGTTTGCTCGTGAAAGGGGAGAGTGAACTACCACACAAGCGTGCGGGGAGCTAGTGGGGAGCAGCTGGCACTCTGTTCACACCTCGCATCCCATGGAAACGTGAACATCCCTAACACAAGGTCTTCATGGAAGGTGTTTTTCTACTAGCCTCATCTTATGGACTGCATAACTGAGTCTGTTTACCCAGATTGCTCAGGAATCCTGGGAAGTGCAAAATGTTGGGAGCTGTCTCTGTTCATGCTTCATCCCAACCATAAGCTGAACTGCCCTTCGTTTTAAGAGAGGCCTTTGCACTCTGTGAACTCTGGCCTGGAGTAGAAAAGTCAAACTTGTCATAAGCAACTTCCCTCATTGAGTTACACGTAGGATTGCATCGCGAGCCAGGCATGGTTGAAAGCCCATTTTCTTCTCAAAATAGTCCCTATTGATTTGTTGAAGTTCTAGGTACGGAAGGACTTTTGGTAACAAACACCCTTTCTAGTTGGTTTTGCCAAAAATATTTTGCTATCTTGGCATATGTTATGGTATATTTCAAAAGCTTTGCTGATTTATTTCAGCAGTGCTACGTGCAATACATGCCCGAGGCGTTTGCTGTCTTCACATATGTTAAAGCATCACCCCGACAGTGGTGTTTACGCCCTTTCTGGCAATTAATGTCATTAGTGGTTCTCTATCCCTGAAGGCTTCTCTAAGAAGGTGTGATCTCCTTTATAGACTCCCCATATATGCACCATCATATAGCTGATACGAGCATGATTGTTCTTTTTAGTTACTTTTCAGGAGCACATTTTAGTTAAATGCCCCTTCTCCCCCTGGATCACAGGTTGAAAATGACAGCACAAGAAGACATCGCGTTTGTCGTCTGCCCTTTTGGCCATGCTTCCTTCACTGGGGGAGGACCCAGGGTGCATTGGTTTGTATTAAACTTTGAAGGGCAGGTAGAAGATCCCACATGGAGACTCCTTTTTTGGGGAAGAGTGGGAGGGAGGGGAGGGAAGCTGGCAGCCAGTTCCCAGAGAAAGAGGCTTTCCATTTGGCAAAGGGCTGCTCCTCCTGGCCAGAGGAACAGTATTAATTTAACATTACCTGAGACTGTCTAAAGGTGATGGTTTAATTTGTATTATTGCAAGACTAATTTTTTTCTGAATAAAAACTTGAACTA